GTATTTTTTTTATTCATTATAAAGTTGGTATTTATTTTGGCTCAAAACGGATAATTCGGTATTAAAATAACAGTTTTCCCCTTAACTAATTAATAAATAAGAGAAAAACTAAGAGAGTTTTTTACGTTGACAAGGAAGATAGAAAAATACTTGTTTTATGAGAGTAATGTCATATATCATATTTTGTTACTTTTTTGTTTGCAAAATAAGTACAATTATGTATTCAAAACGCAGGGAACCTTCTGGCCTTTGTCGCTACTCTGGCAGGTCTTTTGTGGCACTGCGACATCGTTGGCACTGCGACATCGCTGGCACTGCGACATCGCTGGCACTGCGACCTCGCTGACACTGTGTCTTTGCTGGCTCTGTGACCTTGCTGCACTCAGGCCTTCTGTTGCGAGTAAAGAGGACTCAGAAGACTCCTTTATTGGGAAGAGAAGACTTAGGAAACGAAAAAGACTTCATCTTCTTGCTAGGAAATGACTTGGGAGAACCATATAATATCTTTACGTCAATGCAATTCCGTGTCTATGCACCGCGCTTGCATAACTTTGGAGTTCAACATTGAGCGGGTGAAATCCGACCCCATTCACTTATTTATTAACTAGTAAAGATATTTTGATTATGAAGTTGTAGTTAAACTTTAGCAACGCTTATTACACTCGCAATCAAGGTCTTCTCCACTAGTATCATTACAAGTGCATTGAAAAGCAATTATTTTCTGTGGGTCCGCAGCAAAAGCTTCTGCGCACATCTTGTTGCGCTTGATGTTGTCGTCTTGAGGTTGACACGATGCTCTATCCCGCCAAAACCTTCTCCCTGTCTTGCAAATCTTCGTCTTTTGAGCCTCCGTCACTATTTTTGTGTAAGAATCACAAGACATTTAAATAAACAACCGAAAATACATAGTATAATTTATTATTAAATCATCCATTAATCTAGTGCAATACTATTTTTCTTGTAAGAACAAATTAAGCTAGTAGCCGATGAAAACTAAAAAGGATTTGATGTGTTTACCTTGAACCTGACTCAAAACGAAGAACATAATGATAACACAAGAAAACATGAACACTGTAGCAGATCTCATGACTTTTTCCCCTAAGTGGCAAAAATATTATCTTTTTTTGTCGGAAGTTGTAATTTGTCTTACTCTCGCAATATTTTTATTTTCCCAAATGATGGTAAATATATATAAAGATTAGTAAATTCTATTAAAAGACAAGGATGGAGCCAAGTCAACACCTTTATTTGCTATTACCCCGCGATTACTAAGAATAAATTGTAACAAAACCAATCAGAACCATACAATGCTGATGAAGCACCGTGAACTTGATTTACAAAGAATGATACATGATTATTCAGTGAATTAAAATACTTTCTCTAAAATTTTCCTTGTATGAAATGATATGACAATTTATGTTATCAACACACATGAAAGAGTCACAAAGCAGCTAATGCGTATGAGCGTATCTACCAAGGTTTTATGGCTTTGTGGTTTGTATCACTCCATAAAGACTCGTTAGATCTTTCGATGAAACATTCATTCGGACAATTCAAATTGTCCGAAATTTCATATGTCATTTTATTCCTAAGTGTCAAATTTCGCTAGGAGTTTTTTTTTTCTTTTCAAAGTTCCATATTTTATACAATATCATCCATATTTTATGCAATATCATCTTTCTTTAAATAAAAAGTCTAATTTTTTTGTTATTATTTCGGCCCATTCAATTTAGAAAACATCCAAAAGTTAAATAACCGAAATTATAAAACAAAACCGAACAAACTGAATTTATCCGATTAACCGAATTTGGACAAAAAGTTTATGATTTTCCGAAAAAATATCAATAGTTTTGGTTTATTCGGCAGAATTTTCATAAT